TTAAGAATTTCCCTTTCATGATAAAATGTTACTGGTCAGTAGTTTTTAGAGTTTTTCTCCTCCCCTGGTTGCCCTGTGTCTCTCTGCTGCGTGTGTGTGTGTGTGCGTGTGTGTGTTGTGTGTGCTCGTGTGCTATGTCCGGACCTCCCACCTTTTCCCTGAGATTACCCTGCTCATCCTGTCTGCTGCTCAAACCTGCCAGCCATCAACTCATCAGTCCTGCAGTATATAAACCCTGGTTCTTCATCCACTCTCTGCCAGATTGTTGTCTCTACATGCCTGGTAGTAACTTTCTTGGCTGGTTAAAGAACTTTAAGATAAGTTTTTTTTTTTCCCGTTTGTGCTGAGAAACTTAACCTTGTTTTTTACCTGCCTCAAGATCATCACCTTCACTTCAGCTACCTGCCCGCTCCTTTCTATCAGCCACACTGCCTCCATCTTCAGTACTACTCTGCCTGGATCTTAGCCATAATCATCTCAACACTGCCAGCAGGAGCTTCACATCACCATTTCATCAGCTGGTTCTCAATAAAGCCTCTTTGGAAATTATAACCAACCAAGTTGTGTTCTGCTTGTGGGTTCCTCTGTTTAACATAACATAAAATGCGTATTGGAAGAAGGACCAACAAGAAAAGTGACTATTGACAGAACACCAAACTTAACTAAACACTGTGGCATGAATAACATTGATCACTTTCTACCCTGCTGGTGCACTTTTATTACATAACTTTCTAAGCCATCACATCCATGGATGTTTTTTGAATTGTCCTTCAGTCCCTTGGCATTCATCATCATTGTTACCCACCACTACGTTTACACATTTCAAAAAATCAATGCGTGTTAAACCAACACTTCAACACTCAAAGTTGCTTGTAAGCGGACACTTCAGTTCACGAGCAGCTGTACCCAGGTGTGACTTGCTGTGTGGAAAGAAATAAAACCAACATAATCACATGAAACATACAGGACCGTTTCCAGACTTTTTGACTGGGATGGCACAAGAATGGCACTGACTCAAGTGGGGAGGGCATCAAGTATGTGTCTTAGTTTACCATTCATTCCCAATTTATTCAATTCAAACACTGTTTAGGTACCCTAGTATGCAGAAATATTAAAATACACTAGGCGAAAATAACAGTTTTATACCACATGCTAAAAACTGCATGTTTTTTCTCAACAATTTGCATAAAGTGGGCATCTCTGCAAAAGGAAGACTTGTGGGTACCCACAGAACACATTTTCATTCAGATATCTTGAGGTCAGAGGTCAAGGTAACCCTTTAAAAATGGCCATGCTAGTTTTTCCATCACTAATATTCAGCCTAACTTTGAAGCACTAAAGCTCCCTTCCCAACATGCTAGCATGACATGGTTGTACTGATGGATGCGTTAGGTCATTTAGTTTCATATGATAGCAGTATCTTCACTCTAGCGTTAAAGCGAAGGCCACTACAGCCTCTGGAAGACAGCTCGGAATGAAACCCTAGTCCCCCGTCTAGAAACGCCCTGGATACCACATAAAATATGGTATTTTGTTTCACAAGAATAAGAGACTTAATCAGATTGGCCCTATGAAGAACACTGCATTGAGCAAGGTGTACTCACAGCTGGAGAAGATGAGTGGACAGGAGTGTTCGTCCATTGGAAAGTTGTGCAGCTGCAGTTGGCATTCTGCGTTTATTGTCAGCCTGAAAAGAAAAGAAAAACAATCAGTTTGTAACTCTAGTAGTAGTAACTGATTTAATATGAAACCAAATCACATGAATACTAAGGATGAGCGAGTACCCCATTATCTGTATCGGAAATTGATATAGGTTGATCAGAAATGGCTATTTTTATTGGAAAACCTTTTACAGTACAGTACAATATAAAGATAACTATTAACAACATATATTTTTTTATAGGTTATTATAATAAAATGTGCCTTTATTTACTAGTATGGATATTGGCACATTTTAATCTGATGACTTCTTGTTATCTGTTCCGGATACTCGTTTGAATCTAATGAATACATTTTTTTGTTCAGACTTTTAAAGTATCACATCTATAAAAGTAATTAGTTGTATTTTAATGGGACGACAGCATTGGCATTAATGCAATACTGCATGTTCATTTTGATAAAAAGCTTCCTCTCAGCTTCGAGTCTGGCAGCAATTTGTAACTAGTAGTCATCAACCTACAATGTAGGAATTCAAGGACCACAGTCAGTAAGAGTGAGACAGCTGTGAGTGAATATCCTACAGCGAAGAGGTCGAGGAAGAATCTGCCCTTTACAGCTTGTTTTTCTATAAATTGCTTCTTGAATTCCCCCAAGGCCATTCGTAGTCAGTAAATCTTAACCTGTAAGAAAACATTCTTTTAAACAGTCTTTTAAAAGTGAAGCCTTTTCAGAGTCAGACAGAAAATATCAAAGTCAACAATTTGACCTTTTAACCGGTTTGCATCTGATTCTTCAAAACATGCAATCAGATTTGAGCTTGGCGTGATGTACAGTGTATATCAGATTTGAAACGATTAGTCCATTAATGGATAACTTGATCAATAAAAAGTTAAAGGCAATGATGTGATGAATTGCTCCATGCTTTGTTTGTATATTATACAAGCCAAGCGCAGGGGGAAGCACACACATTCCTGCCAAATGTTGTCACTGTTTCATGACAAGTGGCAGTAATGCACCAAAGAACAGTGAGGCAGAAAGATCCAGAGAAGATAACTGCAAGCTTGTACACAAAACCAACAAATTAAAAATTAAATTAAAAAAAGTAGGGAGGAAATACATTTAAAACTTTTGTCAGTGTTTTAGTCAGAAATATTTAATCTAAACAGAACTTTGCTTGTCCATTGTGTACCTCTAATCTGCAACTATTTTGATAATCGATTATTCTTTAAGTAATTTTTAAAGCAAAAATGCAACCATTCTCTGGTTTTATATTTTTATAAATTGATCATGCAAGCAAACACGACATCTGAGGATATTACTTTGGAATTTTTCAGTATTTGCTGACAATCGTCTACAGTGTCTGAAAACTTCAGATTTTTATCCACATGAGTACCCTTACTTTTTACTAAGTAATGCCAAACAGCATTAGAAATGTCCTGGTTTTCTAGTTAAAAGTAAAACGAATTAGGGTTATGTTGTGATTAGGTTTGTGCTGAAATGGGGTACTGGCACCTTTTTTGGTCCAATTCAGGCACTGATTTGCTATATAGATCAGGCAATTAATTGATGAATTTAGGAAATTAACATATATGCATATTATATCCTAAAATGACTGCATGTAGTTCAACTATAACTGAATATACTGCGTATATATAAGTAGTTGAAAATATAAAAATGTTATACATCATTCTATCCTGTTTACACATTCTCATTGTAACCTTGCATTAAATCAAAAACAGTATATAGTAAGAAATAATCCAAATTGAAAAATGAATCGTCCACTTCTCCTAATTTTATCAGCTGTCAGTGGCCTGTAATTCACAAAACTCATAGCAGACATCATGACGAGTGACCAGCTGTACTCACTCTGTGGACTGAGACTGAGAAACATTGGTGTGGGGAGACAATGCATAGAGATTGTATATCTTGACTTTTCCTACTGCTCACTTCCCTCTGTGTGCCTCCACAATGATGATGTATTAACAAACCTGCTACACACACATCACATTATCATGTGTAGATTCTGGGAAAATCTGCATGTGACGTAGCTAAAGATGAGCTGTCCCTGAAACTATGCAAAGCTGTGGATGTAATATTGCACCCAATATGTTGTTGACCCTCAATAATGAACCAGTAAAAAAAAGTAGCATTTCTTATCTTAATAGGAAATCAGGCTTCAGGAAGCATTAAGAGTGCTTTGACCTCTTTAAACATGATTAAATAGACACATCAGCCTGAATGAACAAGTTTGAACATATGCCTGATGCTTTAATTGTTGCAGAATTACATTACACCTGTCTGAGAATACAACATGAAAGAAAGTACACTAAAATCATGATAAATCTCAAAATTACACATTTTATATAAATCTTTTTAAATAACGAAAGTTGCTAGGACACATAAAGCCAATCAATGGCTCTGACCCAGTACTGGGAGCCCCCTCCTCAATGGATAGGTCATATAAAGCAAGTCAACATATATAGCTATATGCAAGAATCTCTGACTGCATCACTCAAAGAGAGGACAGAGAGAGAGAGAGTGAGGAGCATTCACAAGTGCCAGTGTGACCGAAATGTATCCTCTTGTAATCACGAGGATAAAGCAGTAAGGTCATTTAAATGCAGCAGTACTGGGGCGCCTGGTTAGCTCAGTGGGTAGAGCTGGCGTCCCATGTTAATAGAATTCATTCATCAAGCATGTTTGAAAACAATTAGCAGTTTGGGCTACATCTTTCCTCACAGTTAATGTTGAAAAAAAAAATGCAGCAGTATTACAGAGTTGCCCCCTGATGGGTCAACTGCCATCAACAAACAGCTGGACTCATTAATGTATGCTAAATAAATATCTGACACCAACAGTGCATGCTGCCTGTTAACAGTTGCTCCTGTCAGTTCTGGACCTCGGTGCGGCCTGACCCACCGACGACGCACGACCAAGGATTATAGCACGGCACAAAAG